TTTTCCACAGTGTTCGGAAGCTCGGGTGCCAACAGGCAAGGCCGTTTACTTCGGCGAGGAACACAGGCCATTTCGAGGCGTAGCGAGCGGCGCTCTTATCCCTACGCCCCGTGTACCCTGCACCACAGGTTAAGGGAGGTCTACGCCAAGCAATGGGCAAAACAGGCTTTGGATAATCATAATGTTGATATGGCGGGTTCGATTCGACAACTTCAAATGGCTTTGGTTGGTTCCGCATAATAGCAAGTGGTGAATCAATCACTTTAGAAAAAATACATAGTAAAATTGAGGATGTACACTAATTAGTATACGATGTGAGAACAGAATTCCTAAAAATTTTCACGACAGAAAAAAAAACACAACATTACCTCGAAATTTTGCAAGAAAACCGCTGTATTCGCGTGTAGAAGCGTCAATTTCGCTTCGGTGCAGGACAAAGCGCGCGAATTTGCGAGAAAACTGCAAGCTTTCTGCGCGTTGATGTTGTAGAAGGAGTTTAGAAAGATCTTTTGCATGACAAAGGTGGTGGACTTGAATATTGTTTTTATTTTAAGAAAGAAGAGAAAAACAAGGAAACAATACATTTTTCCGTGATTTTTGAAAGAAACTAAACCCTTTTGGCCCATGTTAGAAATATCGCAGTGCTTTCCGCCACTCGCCGCCTACGGTAGCTACGGAAAATTCCTAGAATTCCCCGAGAATTTGCGAATAAAATAAAAAACTTGTAATTAAAAATCCGCTTTATTATACATTAAATAAAACTCGCATTTAAACAAATAAGTACAAAAGATAGAAACAAAATATACAAATAATAAATATTGATTTGTGCGTTTAGCTTACACAATATAATTATATACATTTTATTACTACATTAATGGATATTACAAACAAACCTTACTGCTAACGAGAATAACAACTTTCCCAAAATATCTTACTCTAAAAAATGGTAACACTTGAAATCTGTACGATGGAGAATGTTCCCGAAAAAGACATTTCGCCCGTTTGCCAGAACAACGTGTTATTTATGTGTGTTAATGTGTTAGAGATAACACGTTGTTCTGGCAAGTGGGCGATTTTATGTGTAGACTATGGCCATAACACTTTTCCAGAAGAACCTAGCCCAGTAGTGGAACATGTACAATTTGATGATGACAATGTCAACAAGACACTATAGCGTAAATAATACGTAAAAGTTCAGGGAAGTAATAAACACAAAATGTATAATACCTCCCACTGAAATTCCGAAATTATTATGTGTTTTGATTTATATTTTTGATGCGTAACTAGCTATTTATTAGTCTTAGATTTAAAAGAAAAGTTCTGTATTTAAGTGTTTTATTTTGATTTTGTGCCTTTTGTTTTTAATCATCCCGGGATTTCAGAGCAAGGTTAACCTCTCTATGTGTATTATTAACTAAAGGTTAGGTAAATACATTCTATTCCGATCTTTGTTAATGAATGATAGCTGCTACAACACTAGATGCTGAAGTATTCAAAACGTACGTTCTTTGGTCCTTAATTATAATCTTCCCACAAATCGTATAGTGTGATAACAAAGCATCACCTTCGCCAAAAATTTTCCTAAAATACCTACACTACAAAAGAGATCTTATCCACCAGTAGCGTTTATTTAAATTGACACAATTATCTAAAGGATGACAAGTTTAAATTGGCACTTGGCCATTTGGCGATATTTCAGAGAACGTATTTCTTTTATTAACAACGCAAATGTTAATGTTTGACGTTATTTTAGTAATTAGTCGCATTTTTAATTAGAGATAAAAACCGACATCTGCCAATGTAACTTTAAAAAATAATGTTGTCATTTGTACAAGTTGTCACGTTTAGAATTGTATAAGTTAATGAATTGTAGAATTACGTGTTTAGTTTAGTTCTCAATTTGCTTAGTGAAGCAGATTAGTAGCAGAAGAGCTTCTTGTGATAGTTCATTAAAGGTAGTACTGCCACCTTACCTATTTCTGCCGCCAAGCAGTAATGCCAGCATTACTGTGTTCCGGTTTTGTAGGTTAAGGGTTCTGGTGAAATTACAGACACATGAAACTTGTCAACTTACGTCTCAAGGTGAGGGACGCAGTGGCAGAGCCCCTAAGATTTAAATTTTTAAAGCTCTGAGTGGTAATGCAACTGTTACGGATAGACGCGTGCGTAACTTACTATCAGGCGCACGACTTGTTCGTACCGTCACTTAATTTTTTTTTTTAAATCGTTCAAATAGACATTAAATTTTATTATTTTATTCACATTTTGGTCTCTATATACTTTTATTGCTTTTCCGTTATCATATCAGATTTTAAAAAAAAAACCTATAAATTATTAAAAAATACAGCATAATTTTTAAGTTTCTTGTATGTCACGATGTTTGACCATCAATTATTTTTGTGAAATTACTCCACTAGTTTCATTGACTAGTTTGTTATAATTATTAATACAAAGATCGAACACATAGACGAAAATCCTTCGATACGGCTGGATTCGAACAAACGTCTTCCAGCAAATCGTGCAAGATACAATGTACCTTAATGAGTGGACTCATTCGGGGAAAAGTCGATACTTTAAAACAACATTTTTATTTCATCAAAAACTAGAAACCCAAATAAACGTCAGTTTATTATATCTAAATGAAAAACACGACTATAGTTCTTACGTATAAAATACTTCACAATTTTGTATAGGGAATTGAACAGCGCCCTTAGCGGTCACAAGACGTAACATATTACATAGAAAGAAATTACGAGGTAACTAGCAACAACAGCCTCCGTGGCCGAGTGGTTACCATGCTGATCTGCCACGCAGAAGTTCCGGGTTCGATTCCCTGGCCGGGAGAAATATTTGTATGGCCCACATTTATTTCTCTCGTGAGTTTGGGTGTAATTTGTGGTTGTCTACTGTTTGGGGTTTCCCTAAAGCAGGGCTATTTTGTGTGTGTGTGCGTCATTATTATTACTATTAACTGTTACTGTAGTAGACTCATATGCTCATAGTAGATGGCTTTGATACGAAAGTATAATCTATATTTTTTAAGCCAAAAAATGACGGGACGAACAAGTAGCACGCCTGGTAGTAAGCGACACGCCTGTTTATAACAGTTGCAGTGCCGCTCAGAGTTTCCAATTCGCAAAGATCTGAGGGACACTGACACTGCCCGTCACCCTGAGACATAACTTGATAAGTCCCATGTACCTGTAATTTGACCAGCTTCCTTACCCTTCAAAACCGGAACACAATAATGCTCACATTACTGCTTGGCGGCAGAAATAGGTGAGATGGCAATACTTCCCTGGACGAACTCTTTCACAAGGAGCTCTCAGATGCTATATCGATTTAATCATATATTTAAGTAAGCGATTTTATAAGTTTTAATTCAACAAAAATGATTCAAAACGAACTATTGTAAAAAATACATGTGTATGTGCGCTAGGTTTTTACTCTTAGACATTGACTTACAAATAAATGGACGACGGGTCTAATACAAAAACCACGAAAAAAATGTCCCAAGTCAACCTATTCGAAATTTAAATTGTAATGTCATCGCAGTATCGCGCTGTCAGTCGAACAAATGAAGACTAAAGCGGAGTTTGGCGCTCTGTATAGGATTTAGCGCCTTACAAGTGCGGACACTTTTTAGCGCGGACCCGACGTCCATATAATTGTAAGTCAATGCTCTTAGACGACTTTTTTGTAGACGGAGTATGATGACAGTTCATCGCGTAAAAGAGCTTGCGAGCAGCTAGTGATGATTGCAGTCGATAAATATTCTATCGGATATCAACTGAATATTCGTCATGCTTATGAAGTAAATAGCCGAACTTATTTCCCATTATTCACCCTATTAGTGAGCACAAGTTCATTTGAATCGTCAATTTTTGTAAGTTCATACGTACACTGTACTTAGAATGTTTATAAAAAATACAAAGAGGAGACATATTATTTTAAAGTTTGTCGTATTAATTCAATATGGTTATCAAATCTGGCAATTCTTGTTAAAATGTATATGGAAAAAAATTTATCTCGATATTAGTAGACCAACTGTCAAAATAAGAATAAAGAAGGCAATAACGCAATTAGTAATTATTAGAACGTCGTAACATTCACAATTCAGTCATCTTTGGTAAAATGTGATAACAAAGAAGATATTCTTTCACAATCTATCGATAAAACCAACGACAACAACTACATAACCATTTCAAATTTTATGAAAACTCTCAACCCTACAAATGCAATTTTAGCCGTCTTCAAAAAAGACAGACTATAGTTTACAATCGAGCTCTTAGGTTTTCGCGATTGTGACACATAGGAAATGAAACTATTTTCCCGGATTTAAATCGCATATAGCGTGACTATGGGACCTGTAAAGGGCACGAAACGTTGGTTTGTTTGAAAACACAAACATACGTGATTTAAATCCGGAAAAATAATTTCATTACCTATAGTTTACAATCTTGACGGAAAAAATATTGTAAATGTTATATGTTGTCATAATTCATTTTAGTTTTATTTATAACGTTTACGTTTACTAATGTTGTAATAGACAAGGTGGTATTTTGTTATATTATGCTATTTTAAGGGGTTTTGTAAAGTCTTTGGTTGCCCCCTTTGCGTCTCTTAATTTTCTATCGTGAAGTTGCCTGGAAGATATTACTACTTGACAATAAGGCAGCATTTTGTACATCAACTTATTGTAATACACTTAAATTACAGTTACTAAGTTGTCATTGTAATATTATGTAATAAAGTAAAGCGCGCTGATTTTTTACGTGAATGTATGGTAAATAGAATCTAATGGTAATACTTTCCACAGTAAAAATTTGTATTGATGCGTAATATCGAGTGCGTAATGAACCTTAAAATATTTAAATAACAGAATATCACCAGATATAATAACACGCCGAACAACAATGTTTGTAAAAAAAAACCATATTTTATTTGTTCCTAAAATGCTGCAAGCACCTCCAATAAAGCTCAACAACTATATTATATTCCATAGCACCAACTACTTAAGTTTAAAGCTACGCTAATGTGACTCTTTGCTTCTGCATTTTCATTGCCATCATCCTTTGTTCTGGAGTAAGATTCTCGCCTCGGAAGCGTTTGTAGCTGTGGGGGGAAAAAAATTGTAGTAAATGTCACCTCACTAGCTCGGAAATTCTTTCTTTATCTTAGAAATCCGTGCGCAAAAGCGTTTTTTCCACGTTTTAGCGTGGAAAAGGTTTTTGAAATTTTACGATGGACTGTTGTGCACCTTCAAGTATTTCTTTCAATGAAAAAAAAAAACAATAACACAACGACGCGATTTGTCGTACATTATTTATGTAATATAAATCAGAGGGCTTGCTGGAAGTTGTTTCATAATTATTTTTATATAGGTAACCATAAATTTATAACTACTAGTTCTTTAATTTTTTTATTGAATTGATATTCAATTATTTTTTGTGAAGTTACTCCACTAGTTTGTTATAATCATTAGTACAAAAATCGAACACTCGGAAAAAAATCCTTCGATCCGGCCAGATGCGAACCAACGTCTCCTAGCAAACCGTGTCAGACGCTAACGAACCAGATTTACTGATTCTTTATTGTAAAATATAGAAAATCTGTTTTTCAACCGGTAATATAAAGAAATATGCGCAAAAAGATGCCTATAATAAAGGTACACTTTTACTTAGTTTAGGCATCGCAATTACATATTAAGTTCTAATATTATAGTGTACTTTACTATGAAGATTGTATAATTAAGGGTCCTTTTTTATTGTTTATTTTATCATAGCTTTGTTTATATATATTTTCCTTGTATTATATTAGATTAAGTTATATTAAAACAAATTTATCTTATACAGTGCTGTAATATATTCCTGACACGCGGCGCGTGCACACGCATATAAGTCGCGCTGCGACGTTTGTATGAAGTTACTATACTTGTTTTTATTCTACTATACTATTACTGTATACTTTCTGTCAAATTGTGTTAATGTTTTTCATTCAAATGACAAAAACAATCACTCATTCTTTCACTCGTTCATTTGTTCAAACTGTATAGAAGACGCACAGAACCGCCTCTAGAGACAAATGTCCGATTTACGGGATTATTATAAAGTTGTATCAGTGAATGAAGAAATCATAAAAAAAACTAGAATGATACTTACATCATATCGTAGAATAGTTTCTGTTCTTTGGAAAGGGACGGTTTGGTTTCGTCTAAGGCACTATCTATGTCTTCCGGGTACACTACTACTGACTGCAACTCTTTATCTTCGCTTTGCCCCTGAGAACAAAAAAATAATAATGTGTAAGATTAGGGAAATCTCTGTACTGTATTATACCAGAATAGCAAAAGTAACTTCGAGGGCACCACCCAGACTATCTATAGCAGAACATATTTAGAAAGAGCTTGTTTCCTATATAGTTGTTTCACTTCAAATCGACCAGTTAACTTGTGCTTTGGTATAATGGAAGAAAATTGTAAAATTACATATTTAATATTTAATTACCGATGAAATTTGATTGATGTAATTAGATGTTTTGCTGTTACAGATATTATCTTTATTACAATAAATACAGAATATTTTTGGAATATAAGGAGACGTACACACAGGTCAGTTGTTGGCGCTGTACTATTTCAGCTGTCTAATTTGTAATTTCAATGCAAACGAGAGTTGATATTTATAAGTGATGTATCACTGATGAGTTGAGACCAGGAATCTATGGCCCTTATTTCGCCACTATTTCTGGTTATATACTCAATGGCGCTTAGTGAATCAGACAACTTACCAGCTGTAATTCCAATCGTGCTAACTGCGCCGTGACCAATAAAGCTTTTAAGTCAGCCGGTGAGTAGCCGTCAGTACGCGCCGCGAGATCTTGTAAGTCGATGGCAGAGTCCAATGCCACGCTCTTGCTTAGCGTCTTGAGGACTTCATGACGACCCCGCTTTAAAATAATAATAATAATTATGTGCCCGAGAAACAATATTGTTGGATAATTTATAGTGGAATTTTTTCCAGAAAAAATCCCCGATAATTGGGAAAATTTGAAAAATATCATTTGGAAGGCTTATATCATGTTCTACGTGTAGTAAAATCTTTTGAAGTTTTATTTAGCGTGAATTATAAAATAAATTTGTATAGTTAAAAGCCACGTATAGAAAAACGTGATCTAAAATTAGTTAGTCCTGTGATGATAGTTGCTAGCTTATGTATGTAAAATAAATAAATTTCACAACAGCGAAAAAATCCTCCAAAAACCACAACACCACCACATGTTGTTGGCTCCATCGCTTTCGTTCAGTAACTTGAACTTTTGATAGATGTCAACGTCAAATGTGGAAAATTAAAGAAAAAATATATGGATTTTCTTTTTACTTTTCTGAAAAATACGAATTTTTCAAAATGGAAAAATTTTCCGTGGCCCAACACTACACACCAATTACCTGACCTAAAATAGACACTACCGGGAACACCCAGACCGGAACTAATTTAGAAAAGTATGAATTCGTAAAGTAAATTTTGTTGTCGTTAATAGAATTTTTAAATTAAAGACCCTTGAGTAATGATAAGTATTTATTTATATCTAAAAAAACAATATAACCTGTAACAAAAACTACGTGGGATCGCAGTGTTTTTGTATGTTTAAGACTGTAAATTATTAACTATAAGTCGTAACCTTGACATAATAAAGCTATGTGATCATACATCTAGTTACAAAGTCATAAAAATAGTACGGACATGAAACAAATTACGTATATGTGAACTTTTAGTAACTCTTATTAAAAGCCGATACTAGCTCAGCTCAAATTAAATTTTTTTCCCGCACTAATACGGTTCATTTTGCTTAGATCGAGCGGCAGAAACACTGGCTCTATTTCAGAAATTACATTTTTGCTAACGAAATTAGAACCATTTAAAAAATGTATATCGTATAGTATAAATACATACGTGTTGTATTTAGTTCAGTGGATATTTTAAAAAAATCATTGGCATATGTAAAGTACCTAATGAATTTTCGAGGCAAATTTCGTGTTTTTGTTTTTTTTAGAAAATTTTTAGAAATCGTGTTTTCACACGGTATAGTAATCAGTATATCCTCAATTTTACTATATATTTCTCCAAAGTGATTGCTTTAACACATTCACTGTTATGAGTAATGCGGAATCAACCAAAGCCAGTTGAGGTAGTAAAGACACTTATGTATAAAAATGTTATCGACTTATTTCGTTCGTAGAACCTTTATAAACCTCTCACTCATTGCACAAAGGTTGCGAAGTTATTATCATAGGTTTAAAGATTTATTTCTCACTAAGAATTTTCATTCACTTAACATGAGAAAAACTAAATATAGTACAGTTGAAATATTGAACGACAAAGATTGGGTATAAAAATTATTCTACATTAAGTGGGTAGTTGCTTATTTAAACGTGAGTTAGTTGGTTGAATCGCTAACGTGAATATTGCTATACACAATTTACAAAGATATATGGAACGGCTAAAACTAGAAGCGACATGCAAGTAGTTTAATAAGGACGAAATATTTGGTAATTTGTATTATTATTGTATTTTATTTATTATTTATAATGTAATATATATATATATATATATATATATATATATATATATATATATATATATATA